TCTGTGGGGGATGACCGCAGCGATCGAGAAGCACGTACGATCATTCCAGGAATCCAGGTATACACACGCTGGTCGGCAGGTGCTCGACATAAGCTTAGTCCTCTCACACTGAGAACGAAGCAAAGGATTAGCGTGAGATTAATTATTCTCTCCATCTCAAAATATAAGAGCCCAGAATCAAATAAGATATTTTCTAGTACTATAATCATTCCAGGTGAGAGGGGGTGCTTCCTTTCCCCCACGCGTGCGTCTCTTACTCTCCCTCACGCATCTCTTCCTCTCTCCCAGCCAGATATAGCCCCGCCGCCGCCAGAGCTGACCGGCGTCTGCGCGGCGGCTAGGACGGTGGCAGTGGGGAGGTGGGAGGCGGAGGTGCGGAAGTGGTGGCCAGAGGCAGCCGGGCCTGCGCCTGGCCGTGTGGGTTAGGGATGGCTGGAGGTGGTCGGGAGGGCGGTGGGGAGCGGCAAGGCGTCAGCGATGGAGTCTCTCCGGATAGCGGTAGGGGCGGTGAAGCACGGCGGTGGCCCAGTGGCGGCGGCAGCCCTAGGGGCAGTGGTGGCCCAGCGGCTCCCGTCGGCATTGGCAACCCTTGGGGCGGCGGCAGTTCCCATCGGCGCTGGCGGCACTAGGAGATGCGGCGGAGGACGGCGGCTCCCGTCGGCGCCAGTGGCCCTAGGGGCTGCGGCGGTCCAAGAGGACGACGGCTCCTACCGGTGTCGACAGCCCTAGGGGCTGCGGCGGCCTAGGACAGCGGTAGTCTGAGCACTGTGAATCCGATGAAGTGGAAGCCGATCCCGTCGGTTCGTGTGTGGTTGGCTATTTCCGGCTAAACGGCGAATGCCGACAGTTGAAAGTAGGCTAACTGGCGGCGTGTGGCGTCAGCTTACCTGAAACAGATAAAGATGGCACCAACGGAGGTTTGCATCGACGGCGCACTAGGGGCGGCGGCGACTAGACAACTTCCACTTGTAATATCTGGCCGTTTCAGGAGAATATGGCAGGACGCAGAGAAGCAGGGATGTCACGAGGTTGTTTGGTTTTCTTTTTGTTTTTTGGTTGTGTGTTTTCCTCTTTGTTGAGGTGGGAGTGTAAGTACTCATGTATCCTTTTAGCTGTGTATATCCTTCGTGGATATAGAGACCGGATTAATGAAAATCCATTATCTAAAAATGATCATTCCAGGAATCCAGTACACCGTACACACATTGGTCGGCAGATGCTCGACATAGGCTTAGTCCTCTCACACGGAGAACAAAGCAAAGGATTAGGAGATTAATTCTCTCCGTCCCAAAATATAAGAATCTAGAATCAGAGAAGATATTTTGCAGTACTATGAATCTAGATAGATAGGAAATGTCTCATTCGGTTATAAGTTATTATATTTTGGGACGGATTTAGTAAGTATTAGTTAAACAAAACTTAAAAAAATGGATTAGTATTATTTTTTAAAGCAACTTTCCTATAGACAAATTTTGTAAATAACACACCGCCGCCTAGTAGTTTGAAAAACGTGTACGCGAAAAACTCAGCCATAGACGCCTCTCCGAAGTGAAGCTGACGAGATGAAGAAAAGCGACTACTCACCTACAACGGATTATAAAATGTAATGCTTGTTAACGATAAAAGAAATAGATAAAAACTTTTATATTTGTTCTCTTAGTAACATAAAAGTAAATGCTAGAAAATAAACTACATTAAAAACATTAAAATCAATTTGAAATTTAAACTCAAAATTTAAGAACATATATTAGAGCTCAAAATTAATGGAGCAGTTATGTACTCCCTCCGTCCTATAAAAACCAAATCTAATGTGACATAAGTTGGTACTACGAATCTGGATATACTCCCTCCGTCTCATAAAAAATAAATCTAGGACCAGATGTGATACATCCTACTACGATGAATCTAGACATATCCGGTACTAGGTTGGTTTTCTGTAGAACAGAGAGAGTATATTTGTTCAGATTCGTAGTAGTAGGATGCGTCACATCCGATTATAGATTCGTTTTTTATAGGACGGAGTGACTGAGTGAGCATTTTTCCTGAGTGAGTATGTATGTATTGTACTGCACAGTATATATCTTGATCTGATCAGTGTGCAGTGGCCTGTTGAACAAAGAAAAGTTGTCAGCTATCTTAGGACTTTATTACCACTAGTTGTATGAATATGATCAGCGAAGTGTAGAAGCACGTGTACTTTGTGTTAATCACATTTGTGCGTTTCAACAAACAAGAATCCAAGCTGAAGCTGGCCGGCATAAGTCGTCGGTCAAGTATACCAGAGGTGTGATTTCCACAGTTACAAACGAAAGCTTCTGTTGCTATCGGATCCGGCTACATTGGGGACATCAACAATCTCTGTTTGGACCCAAAAAGAAACACACGCAAGCGCTCCAGAAAACGAAGGATAATGTCATCTTCAAGAATTTTCAAGTCAAATTATCAAAAATATGACATTAGAATCATTAATTTATCAGGTTTTCTAAAAATCCTTATAATAAAAATTAGTGATCAAAGTTAGATTTTCCAATATCCAAAACGACGTGTTTTCATAATTAGAACAAAAGTAGGTCCATGATTATGTAACACCAGAATTTTCCTGAGCTAAAATCGAACCGTGGGCGAAAAAACCGAACACAGCACACTAGAGAAAAAAAAAATCAAACTCCAAAAAGGAGAACGATATGCATACTAATTTGTTTTACGAACTTTTTACAAACACGTATGAGTCATATTGTGGTTGGATCTTAACTTTTTATAATTTTCAATTAACTTAATCAAACAGTTGAGATTTTTGTTAGTAATAAATTTTTAGTATGTTACACGGGAGGATAACACGGGTGATTGAAATATTATTTTTTTTACATGGGACCTAGATGTGAAACGTTACTGAACCAAAGAACGCGCCTTAAGAAGAACCAATATTTTTTACTAAAAATATATTTTCTTTATTACCTGGTTGATATACCAGATAGAATTCGTTACTGCACCACAGTAGTATAAGCCTGTAACAGAAATTCACTGTACTAACGATAGAAACAACCTACACATCAAAAAAAGCTCACGAGTACGAACGGTACAATACCGCAGGAGCCGCATAAAACTGACATGTTAAAGCCCACAATTTTCCCAACAATTTTGGATATATACCAGTCGATGTTCATTTGACCCTATAATCGACCATATGTAGTAAAATTATGTGGTGCTAATTTTCGTAATACCCAGTTTTTGGTTTGTAGGAATCTATTTATATAAATATAACAGTATTTGATCATACAAGGATGTGTGCCTAACGATTTGTCACATATTCTGTATATATAAAGTCTCGGGTCTTTCACGTTTTCTTGACTGGATGAATAGTCGGCAAGAGCAAGAAACTGATCAATTAGAAAGTCTGACCGGATGAATAATAAATAGTTCATGCTCATGGAAAGAGCCAACAATTGAGTAGTGAATAGTCAATAGCTCCAAGTACAAGATCAGTGGTAGAGATCGAATTTTCGACGCAGTCAGGCTTTCTACGTTTTCGAAGGACAATTGTTGAGTCAATATTGACTCAAAACAATTGAGACAGACAGTGAAAATTAGTGGAAAGTCTCTGACTGGATGAATAATAGTCCATGCATGGTAGAAATGTTGCCACCACTGACTGACAGTGAAAATTAGTAGAAAGTCTCTGACTGGATGAATAATGGTCCATGCATGGTAGAAATGTTGCCACCACCGACTTACAGTGAAAATTATTCTTTGACTGCCGTTTTTCCCCAAAACGGATTTTGGGGTCTGTTCAATTATACCATTTTTTTTTGGTAAAGTTGCTAAAATTTTGGCTACGTTTAGTTTGTTGCCAAATTTTAATAAGCACATATAAAATCTTGCCAAAATTTGATAACCTTGCCAAAATTTTGGCAACATTACTAAAATTTGGCAATACCAAAATTTGATAAGGTTAAAAATGGTAGCAAAGTGAACAAGCTCTTCATCTCTGGCGGGGCAGAGTTTGGGCCCTCACTGATGCATTATAAATAGTTTTGATTTTTTTTAAATCAAACTTTGTAGAGTTTAATCAAGTTTGTACAGAGATAAAATAACATTTCAACACAAAACATACTATTATCAAAATTATTCAATGTTACATTTAATTAAGTTAATTTGATGTTGTAGATATTGTTAAACTCCATAGACTTGATCAAATTAAAAAAGTTTGACTAGAAAGAAATATTAAATCGACTTACAATATGAACGGATGAAGTACAGTAGCAAGAAAACCTTAGGATAGATAAAAGGGGAATAATACTTCTTTTATTTGGTTTCCTCTCTCTCTTCCTCCCTTCCTCCCATTTCCATAGTTCCTAGCTTATATGGTGTTGTCTGGACTAGCTTATTTATTATTATCTATATACATACCCTATATCTTATTACAAAGAAATACACACTCTTACACATTCCTTAATTACCATACACTGAAGGATGAACACCAACCATTTATCTGTGACCATATCAAAATCCTAGTAATTAAAAGCGTCGATTAATCAATGCCCACACTAAAATTCTAACAAAAACGGATCTGTATATATATAATTATGGATAAGTGCACCATACTCCTTTCGTCCTATTTTCATCATCACCTAAGCAAATAGCGTAGAGACCAAGGACAACTAAACCTTTATCATTCTATAATTAATTCTCATCGATTAAGGTAATATGTTGCTTCGTATCACGTGGATTGTATCAAGTTTTAAATATTGCATGTAGTTGTACCAATAGGAATTAATCTTGGTTGGTTGCATGTAGTATATTTAATGATGCTTATTTACTTTTTACATATAAATAAGTAAAGAGATATTTGTGAAAGACTTCAAAAACCGTAGGTGATGATCAAACTAGGATAAATGGAGTGTATTTTCTCGATCGATGCCTTTTTCTTTGAGAACTTTCTTGACGGCTACAAATCGTATTCTCTTCATCCTTTAAAAGCCAATTAGAAAATTGTGGCTGGATCCAACAAGCAAGGGTTTAGTACAACAAAAGCGATTTTGAAATATCTTTGGTCGGGTTCAGTTAACAAGCGTCCGGTTTTGAAGCCCTATAAAAAGACATCTCCTTTGAAATTGCATCTGCCAAATCAGCCAGCACTAGCTAGGTACACTAAGGCATAATACTCGACAGTGTACACTTTTGCTCTAAACGGGATGAAGAGCCACATGGCTTCCCTCTTGCTGCTGCCCACTGCAGCTCCAGCGTGGCCTACCGCCTCCTGCTGGCAGCGCATGTGGGTTCATCCTGGCCCTTCGTTTCCTCATCGGATGATGATACGTCATCCACTGCTGTCCTCCCTGCACGCCGCCCGCCTCATGCCTTGCAAGTGCACAGCGCCGTCATCTCCCATTGCTAGTAAGATGGCACCGACTTTCCACCCAACGATATTCGGCGACTTCTTCATCGAATACAACCAACCACTCAAGGCATGGACATGTATACATATATGTGCACACACGTTATTTAATCCGTGCTAGATAGTTTGGTCTTGTTATAATCTTTTTCATAACAAAATATGTATCGTGCTGAAGTTGTATCAAAGTAACAATTTTAACGAAATAATAATAGTTTTATGAAATCCACTCTATGTCATGTTTGTTATATATGCTTCCATGTGTCTAGCAGGAGTCAAATGAATGGATGGAAGAGAGAGCAGAACAGTTAGTAGAGCAGATAGGTAGAATGTTTGAAGCTTGCAGGGATGATGTGGTGAAACAAATGAACCTGGTCGATGTACTCCAACGTTTGGGAATAGAACATCATTTTGAGGAGCAGATTAACACCACTCTAAGAAATATTCACAGCATTGAATTCTATAGCTCTAACCTCCATGAGGTTGCTCTTCGGTTTCGCTTGCTGAGGCAACAAGGGTATTGGGTTTCACCAGGTATGTATTTATGTTCGGGAATGAAATAACTGGCATACATAACACTTTGACTACGACTTATTTAAAACTTGGGGATCTTTTTTATTCTTAATGGAAAAATTCTTTGAAGTTATTGTTTTCCATACAAACCTTGAATATGGTCTCCTATAGATTCAGGGATTAGCAAGAAGAAATATATAAATCAAGATATAAAATTAATTATTCTAAAGTACTCGTATTTGAATTTTTATGGTTTATGCTATACACAGACGAATTCAACAAATTCAAATGTGAAGATGGGAGCTTCAAGAGTGACATAAATAATGACCCGAAGGGCTTGTTAAGTTTGTACCATGCAGCTTACCTTCTAACTCATAATGAGAGGGCACTCAAAGAAGCTATCTTATTTGCAACCCATCACCTGGAATTATTAAGTGGTAGCCTTGAGTTCCCGCTGGCTGAACAAGTAAAGCGTGCCCTCCAAATACCATTACCAAGGACCTTGAAGAGAGTAGAGGCGCTAAATTTTATCTTCGAGTATACTGCACAAGAGCATACATTTAACCCATCCATTTCAGAGCTAGCCAAGCTTGATTTTAACATTTTACAAAAACTTCACCAGAAGGAACTCAAGCATATTTGTCGGCAAGTCTTCTAATCACTCTATAATGTCATTACTAATCATAATATTGAGAAAAAGAATTAATTTATATTTAATATATTTTTTAGGTGGTGGAAGGATGTTTCCAGTGACATTAACCTAGACTACACCCGCGATCGTGTGGTTGAGTGTTACTTTTGTGCTTACATTGTGTACTATGAGAAAGAGTACGCACGTGCACGCATGATGCTCGCCAAGAAAATTATGCTAATTTCTCTACTTGATGATACCTATGATGTGCATGCGACATTGGAAGAGGCTCGGAAGTTCAATGAAGCACTGCAAAGGTCAACTTCTTATTCCCTTCATTTTGAGAACTAATACATGCATGTATAAGGATGTTGAGATGCCTAGTTTGGAATAGGGATGTAAGTGGGACGGGCTAGCGGTATTTTTTTTACTTGCTTATCCCACTTGTAGTTTATTTTTTCTTCCAAATTTTGTACTAGCATATATAAAATGAGTAAGCGGATTTTTACGTGGGTAGCGGGATTAACCATTTGCATCTCTACTTTAGTTTGGAAGGGAAAAGTCCTATTTACACATGCTCTACCTATGATACCACAAGCTTGATCCTCCTAAACTCCTAATATCAGATAAAATACACCATGAGTCCAATACAAGACAATTTTGGTCCTGCATGGCATCCGATCCCCACATATCACCTCCACCTTCTTCAATTCCTTTTGATTTTGCTCTCCATGTCAACCAATGCAATAGGCTCTAGGAGGCTACCGACCAAAGCGTGTCAGCCAATGACTAGCATCCTCGGCACTGATGCCACTAAACCTCAGTTTAATAGTATAGCCAACTGTTGGCTCCAAAACAACTATAGCTAATTTAATAGCCATTCATACAATAGTTAACTATAAAAATATACTATACCATTAATACTCGGTCCCACCTCTCATCCACGCATAACGTCTTGGAGTTCGTGTTGCAGCCGGCTATAAATCTGTAGTCCGCTTTCTTCTCTCCCTTCTCTTTTCTTCTCGATATGAGATTATAGCTTGCTATTGTACCTGTTCTAAGAGGGACAACCAAAGGATCTTCTTCTGTTGTTCATGAGCATGAGCTCATCAAACATGCAATCTGGCACCCATGTAGCTAGCCAGTAGACCATGATGGAAGGTGAGGGAGGAGGGGATGAAGAGCAGCAGCAATCAGATTCGTCTCCTCCATTTTTGGCCCACTTTGACCCCCTCCTATGTACCATAGGGTTTATAGTTTTTTTTTTTCTGGGAGTGGGAGGAGGGCGCTAAATCCGATGAACACAATAGTTTAGAGGGGCAAATCAGTTTTTTTTCCCATTGTATAAGAAAATCATCAACTATCGTTATAGTTTTCTAAGATACTACCCAAAGTAGTAGCAAATAACCAATAGTTTTGATAAAATCATCATGGTTTTCTCATATTTTCTCAAATTGACAATGCAGATGGGATAAGAATGCTGTTTCACTTGTACCGGAGGGGCTGAAGAGGTTCTTTCTCAGTATTATGAGCAACTTTAGGGACTTTGAAGATGAGTTGGAACCACATGAGAAATATCGTAATGCTTACAACATTAAAGCGGTACGAAGCGTCGTATACAACTTTTCAACAAAGTTATGTACAGCTTATAATTTAGAAATGGATAAATAGATAATCGTCCATAACAGAAATGGACAAAAAAGAAATTGTTTTTTCAATCAACTCCTACGTATAAAAATCTGAACTAGCAACTTTAAGAATTAATACATACATCTTCAAAAATATGTATTTATCTTAATTATACTCTGTTTTTTTTGCCACATGCAGTTTCAAATATTATCCAACAATTACCTCCAGGAAGCTGAGTGGTTCCATCAAAAATACATTCCAAGCTTTACAGAGCATGCGACCGTGTCCCTCGTAACCGGAGGTGCTATAGAATTACCTGTCAGTATAATCGTAGGCATGGGTGACATAGCTACCAAGGATGCCTTTGATTGGGCCTTGTCTTACGCTGATGCTGGCAGGGCCTTTGGAGAGGTGTCACGTTTCATGGATGATTTGGCTGTATCACAGGTACTAATTAATTAATACTTACTAGTACTAATATGCATGCATGTATGCCAGCTAGATCGCTCACTCTTGGGTTTATAACTTTATATATGAATGTTATAAATTTTGGTTTTCATATTTGGTTGAGTGTTGAAATTCCATTGGTCAGAGTTCATCTTATTTAGGAAAAAAACATTTAAGTAATTTTTTTCCTTGATGAACTTCCCATATGGAAAGTTTTCAGTTTAGATGCCAGGGGCAATGTGGTTATTTTGAATAAAAAAATATAAGCCAATTCATGGTGAACTAATAATGCATTGTTATTTTCTCTACTCCAAACTATAACTTACTCGTTTTCTATTATTATGATTTTTAAATTGTTAAATTGTGTTTTTTCTAGAACTTTTTATTTTTAAAAAAAAATCAAATAAACCTCTTTTTAAAACTTGTAATAATTTTTTCTTAGTTGTTTTATAGAGTTTTTTTTTCATGATTGATCTTTATTTGCACTAGTGTCAAAATTATCACTTGATTTTCTCGGCAAGGAAACTATATTTTCTTTTTCTATTTAACTATATGTTTTAGTAGTGGTGTACCCTATAGCTAAAATCTTGTGTTCGCCATTACCCTATAGCATACTTATAATATGTGGCACGCAGAATGGGAGGGAGAAGATGGACGTGGCCAATGCCGTGGAGTGTTACATGAAGGAGCATGGCGTGACAAGCGATGTCGCGGAGGCGGAGATAAGTGAAATGGTGGAAGGCGCATGGAGAACCCTAAACCAGGCGCGCTTTGAGGACCGCGTGTACCTCCCGTTCGTGCAGCGGATCGCCAATGTGTCCATGTCCATCGCCCTCCTCTTCCATGGCAAGAGGGACGGCTACACCAATAGCCACGAGTTGAAGGATATGTTCGAGAGTCATTTCGTCAACCCTATTCCCCTTGATCATTTAGATACAATTGAAGATATGTAAACTTGGTGCTGAAGTGGCACGGAAAATGGCCATATATATGTTAAGACAGGCGTACAGGTACAGGACATGGATGTAATCAAATCACACGTACATTGGAGAATTATCTGTATATCCCTCTGCTTGTGCATATTAGACGGCTCATTTGCACACATGAAAAAAAAATCCTTTAGATTTGAGGTACCGATTCAATACATTTTTTTTCTAACAATGAATTAAACTGGTCTCTACATCTAACATGGAAAACTTGCATACTCGGAGACAAAAGGGAAGAACCACTCAAATTATGTAAAGCGGGAAAGGCCATTCCACCAATTATCCCCATTTCCCACATGGAGGACCGTGTGTGCTGACATGTGGAGCTAAACACACATTTATATTTAGCCTTACAGCTTTGCTAGTCTTAAGATTTAACCCACGGGCAGCATACCAGTAAGGGACAAAGGGAATACGAAAATAGTATGGCCAAGTAGCAGCTTATTGAGATTCACTTACAAGAAAGTAGTAGCTTGTTGGGAATATTCCTTAAGTTGTACTACTATGCAACAAACTTAAAGCAATACTCTTACTATCCCAATATGATCATCTTATAAGCAAAGAACACCAAGACAAAGACACCAAAACATTCATCATTGTGAAATTAATCCTCATCGATCATCATTGTGAAATTAATCCTCATTGATTAAGGTGCTTTGTCGTTTCATGTCCAACAAAAATTAATTCACACTTTAAACGTTATATGCATTGAACCAATAGAATGTTTGTTGCATGGCATTTCACGATGCGGATTTACTCTTTGCACAAATAAACAAAATATTTTTTGTTATGATGATCATTTTGAGAAAACCTAAAAAAATCTTATGTGATGATCAAACTGGGATGGAGGGAGGGAGTACAATATATACATGAACAGTATTGAAGATTTAAAAGCACCATGAACCATCCGTAGAATATATTGTTGAGGATGTAATTTAAATACTTAATAGGTGTCAATTATGCAAGAAACAAAAACCATTTTTACAACAACCAAACTGCAGATGGTCATGAGCCTACTTGAATTTCCTGGTCTCTAGAGCAGATATTTTTTTTAAGCAGCAGCACTGATCTAAACAAGGGCCAGATCATCAAATAACTCAGCATGCATGCAACAGCCCAAAAGGAGTGCTTTTCTCAGTAATGGGTTTATCAGCGTATACTGCGTCCAAAGCAGATAAATAGCATTACCTGGGTTATGTGCAAACATCCAGGTGAACTGTACAGTCACAAACCTCAGACGATTGTTGTGAATAATTCTATTGATTTGTAGGCAACAGTAGGCAGGTGAACGATAGTATAGACATTGGCAATTGCAACGACAAACCATAACCTTTGAAGCTTTCTAGAATCCTTATATTTGGTAAAATCGTTATGATTTGGACACGAGTGAAAAGCTGTCAAGAATGGAGATGTGCTGCATAACAAAATGGTATAGCAAGATTTTAGAATCACAACAAAATTCTGGATGCCTAATTTCTTCTGCGGTGTCAAATATAAGAGAAGACCATTTAATTTGCAAACAGATAAATAAGTTCAATTGGAGGTACCTCCCAGAGAAGCCTGGCAGATGATTCCAATATTCCATATATTTGTTCTTCTTTAGCCAGTACAGCGTTTTAAGACTTTGTCCCATTGTCAAACATATCCTCCTTTGATTAGCGTTCATTGAGCATCTGGCATAAGCAAGTTAACATGATATGTAGTTACTGACAAAAAAGACAGCAATGAAGGAGTTTAAGTTGGCACAGGTAAGGGAGCACACACACACACAAAAAAAAAAAAAAGGACTACTCTTTGGCGAATTGAGAGAAACCATCACGACAGCAATGCAGGCTCGTCCGCAACGCCCAGCGCAGCGACACCTTGCTACTCACATGCATCCGTCGGCAGCTCAGCTCCACAGGTGGAGCATGCCGAAGATAGCACAACGCAAACATAAACATAAAAACAAGCACATATGCTCACTGGCAGACGGGGTTAGAGAAAACAGAAGAAAGTAATAACCCACAGTAACACAGGATTAATCAGGAAAAAAGAGGACGCAATATGAATCATGTGTAGGAACGGCAGTGAAGTTAACCAGGATGAGGGTGATGTTGACTTTTAAGAAACTGTAATATTCTCTCAGCCACTGTGTCCTTCCCTCCTCAATCTATATAGGTGAGAAAATCCTTAATAGGTCATGTCTATTTTCACGTACACGTTACCATATTGTTATTATACCTGCTACCAGACAGAGAGTTGTACTGCACAGTTTGTTTATGGAATTTGTCCTGTAGAAAATCTGAGTCCAATAGATGACACTTTCTTTTATGGAATATAATGCAAGGCAAGGTAGAAATACCTTAGATGTTCATTGATCATCCTCTACTAGTTACTTCTCTTGGCAGCCGCCCCTTGCCTCTCCGAACAACCAGTAGAGGAGGTAATGTGAGTGTAGTGAGCATCAGGTGAATCAAGACATGAGCTGCTCCATCTGTCTCCATCTCCATCCTCTTTTATGATGAATTTCTGGATTTGGTGAGGGAGCACACTGCAGGCAAGGGTGATGTTCTACAACATGATCAACAGACTCGCGCACCACAGCAACACGCCCCTCACCATCCTCAGCTCAATCAACGCTTGCCCTCCCCTCAAGGTTGACAGTGCCGATACAACAGCCTGAGTTATGCAGACTGCACAGATAAATCCATTCTGCTAATTGTAAGCACAAATCATGCATGCTTTTAGAAAGATTTCATCATTGGCTGGTTAACTGTAAGCATTTGTTCACAACAAAAACCTGAGGACACACATCGTGTTTTACCTTAGGAAAATGGCAGAAATTTGAAAGTCTCAATACAATTTACCTGACGAATTGACCTTTCTGAAACACCAGAAGTCAATGACAGTACAAAACCTAGTATTTTTTAAATTTATTTGGCATAGAAGTTAGATCGATGTCCTGTTCATTGCTCTATTGGTGTTAAGCAAACTTTCTAGGTGAATCTTTCCTCTATTGTCGGGTTCTACAGCCCAGAAGAGCATTGATCCATTCTGCTAATTCTATGAGGAAACAAGGTTCATCCCTTTATCTATGCAAGATTAGGATTCCTCATAAGTCTCCAGTCTAGTTAGTACCCTATATTAATCATTATGGATCTTTGAGGTCCGACAATAATGCCATTTCTCTTATCTTGTGAATGCAGCAAGTAAATAGGTAATAGATCAGAAAGTACAACTAGAAACAACTCATGCAGATATTAAACATGTCAAAATTACCAAGGTCATGAATAGCAATCAAACTTATTTCTTTACAGAGGATATATTGAGTTATTGACCATTCAAGGCAGGCCCAACCAGACGCCATTACTTGAGATGTGTTGGGCATGGTCACATAAAAGATAAATTTATCAGTTGCAGTTTATAATCAAGCTCTAAGTGTTTTTTTTTTTTGCGAAGTTCAACAATAATACCAAAAAGGGAAAATCATGTACATTGATTGGACACAAATTAATGTATAGTACAGAAGTAATCACAAAGTGCCAATGGTAAAATAGAGATTACATAATAATAAAAGGTGAATTCTTGTTAGTAACTGAATCTCAATGCTTACCTTTGCTTCTATTTGCCATAGCTAAGATTTCACTTTATATATAGCAAAACTCATAATCTGACACTGGCCATACAATGGAAAGTTTAATCTTCTCAAGCCAGCTCTTGATCCTTATCCTGTGGAACTTAAATTAGGATTCTCCGCGTCAATGGGACTGTCACTTCCCAAAGATTTCATGCCAACTAGTATGTCATATGTTGTATCATCTGGCATAATTTTCCTTTCAAGCATTTCATCATGCAACCGGAACGCTTCTTGCAGCTTTCCATTACGGAGGTATCCGTTTATCAACATGTTGTACATCAAAACATTAGGGCGTATATCTAACCTATTCATTTCATCCAATAATTTTCTAGCATCATCGATATCTCCGTTGCGGCAAAGACCATGTGTTAATGCTGTGAAAGTAATATGATCAGGAATATTACCCTTAGCCACCATCTCTGAGTATAGTTTCAATGCAAAGGTTACATTGCCATCTTTTGAGAACCCATCAATTAAGGTAGTGTAGGTTGCTGTATCAAGATCAATTCCTTCTTTAATCATTTTCTCGTACAATCTCAAAGCTTCTTCCATCATTTTCAAATTCTTGTACCCTGTAATGAAACTGTTGTAGACTGAAATATTTGGTAAAAGACCATCTTTCAGCATAAGGACAAGAACTTGCAGTGCATGAGACATATTCCCCTCTTGGCAAAACCCAAATATTAAGGAATTATATGCAGCGATATCAGGTCGAAGGCCTTTGCACCTGACATCATTTAGCATCTTCAGTGCCAGGTCACAGCAACTAGTCTTACAGTATCCATCAATGAAACTGGTATATGTTACTATGTTGGGAGGTATGCCTTTTGCACACATCTGCTGATACACAGCAAATGCTGAGCCCATCATGCCAGCTTTTATAAATCCATTGATGATACTATTGTATGTCATTGCAGTTGGAACAAAACCTTCAGTTTCAAATCTCTTCAGCATTTCACCAACTTCACAAACTCGGCCAACCACACAAAGGCCATTTATGAGAGTGTTGTATGTATAATCATTGCAAGAGACTCCATTCTGTTTCATTTCAGCAAGGAGGGCATAAGCCTTGTCAAAAGCAGCCTTATTTATGTGCCCTTTCATCAGCGTTGTGTAAGTGACAACATTAGGTGTGAACCCTTTTCCAGGCATCTCAGTGTACAGCTTGACTGCTTCATCCATGCACCCATTCACACAATAACACAACAACAAGCTGTGGTATGTCACGATATATGGTTTCACTCCTGTTTCATTCATCTTTTCCCACAAGTTAAGCGCTTCGCGAATTTTGCGACGCTGACAGAGCCAGTGAATTAGTATATTGTATGTGAAGGCATCTGGTATCCCAGAATCAGCCATCTCCTTGAACAAGCTTACAGCATCCTTCCACAATTTATCATTCAAAAGGCCCTTGATAACCATATTGAACTCATTTGTGCTCGGCAACAATCCATGATCTCTCATCTGGCGGCACAGCTCATAGGCCTTCTCTGGCATCCCCTCTTCAGTACAACCTCTGATCAGCACCGTATATGTTACATCGGTTGGTACCAGACCGTCCCTTAGTGTCTCCTCGAATATATCCAGCGCTTTCCTAACCTCCCGTTGCAAGCAATAGCCGTGCATCAACGTTGTTGCGAGAACCACACTCATTTTCTTCCCCGTAGCAAGCAACTCATCCTTTATGTGCAGCGCCTCCTCCATCCTCCCTCCCTTCACGAGCACATCCACCACGGAGTTGAACGTGAAGTCCCACGGCACGAACCCCGCATCCTGCATCTTCCTCAGCACCAGCAGAGCACGGTTGGCGTCACGCAGCTTGCATAGGGACGCGATAGCGACAGAGCACACGCGCTGGTCGGGCTCGATCTCAGAGGCAGGCATTTCGTCGAACAGCCTGACCGCGTCGTCGTACATCCCTTCCTTGAAGCAAGCGCGCATCACCACGTCGAACATCCACGCGTCCAAGGGGCGCCCCTTCCCCCGCATCTCGGCGAGCAGCGCGAGGGCGTCCGCGGCCGACGCGCTCCGCGCCGTGACGGCGAGGAGGTCGGTGCGGGACTTGGCGTCCGGGGTGACCCCGCGCGCCTCCATGCTGGCGTAGGCGGCGGCGGCCGCGCCAGCGCGGCCGGCGCGGCACAGGGAGGCGAGGAGGCGGCTGAGGAGCGCGGTGGCCTGCCGTGACCCCGGGCCGCCCACGGCGGAGAGGACGGCGTCGACGAGCGCGTCCGGCGCGAGGCGGGCGTCGAAGGCGGCGGACTTGAGGAGCGGGTACGCGCGGCTGTGGGAGGACGGGGAGGCGGCGAGGATCGCGCGGAGCACCGAGGAGAGGTCCCTCACCACGGCCGGGGCGCGCGAGAGGGGCCGGCCGTTGGTGAAGTGGGCGGAGAGCGGCTCGCTCGGCTGGGAGGCGGACGCCGCAGCAGCCGTGCAGTTGGAGCGCCATGAGAGCGGGCGCGAGGTGGCGGCGCGGAGCTGTGGCTGGCGCATGGTGTGTCGACAGTGTCGTGTCGCGGGGGAGGAGGAGGAGAGAGGGCTTTGCGTTGTTTTGGGTTTAGATCTGCTCTGCTCTCGCTTGCATATGCCGCCGTTTCCTGCGACGAATACGCGCTGTGCAATGCATATCTTGGAGACTGTCTTCTCAGTTCTCAATTCTCACTTCTCAGCAAGCAGAGAACATGTGAACGGCATATTTGCAAATAAAAAGTAATTTGTAAATAAAATTTTTATATAAGTATTCGTAGCAATTAAAAGTAAAGGCTAAAAAATTAAATTTTGATGAAAAAACCTTAAAATCAGCTCTAAATTTAAGTTTGAAAATAAAAGATAGACCCTTTTTCAGTTGTGTTTTTCTAACTCAAACATTCTTGAATTTGGAGCTGCTGGTAGATTAACAATTTAACATCGATCATGGTGAAACATTTCACTTCGCTGACATGTAGGCCCGAGTGTCTGTGGGACCTGTGTTAGCGAACGGTGCTGTACACACACTGCACATTGACATGTGGAACTGAGGATCCACGTGTTAACGAGCAGTCCTGACCCTTTCTCAAAACATTTTGTTCATATTGTAGAACAAAATAAAGGGATTGAGAAACTTCAATTTATCAATTTAAGGGTAGAAACTTCTCACGAAAAAAATGTTCAAACTTCCTTTTCACAAGAATTGGCTATAGCTAAACGAATGCAGATCTACTGTTTAACTGAGGTACACGGGGCAAATGTGTCGTCAAAATATTGCCTCTTTGCAGAAAGATCAAGAAAGCAAACTGATTTGAGACAGTCGAATGGTGAGCTCATGAAGTTGAAGTTCAGTTCTAAACCATAATAACCTCGTTTCACAATGCGCATGAGTCAAATGCTGTAACACCTCAAACATTCAACATTATTATTAAAACTTATGCCTGGGGCAAAGGGAAAATGCTGAGGAAGCTTCTCTACTCTACTAGGTAAGATTCGCGTCAGAGTTTCACCGATACATGCCGGGCCATCATGCACGCTGTCTTCTTCCCACCGATGAATCGACAAGTCCCCAAGCCCTATGAAGTTGAAGTTGCACCACTGTGGGAAATTCACTCCAATTGGGTTGCAAGGTTTGAACCACAACCATCAGCTTCGGGGAGTACACGAATCATACCCACGAACCAACCTGGCTTTAGGGTGATAACACGGGCAAAGGAAGGTCAATGTGTTTGTCCTGTGTAGCATCATGTGCCAACTGATTGAACATCACTATGTCTCAGCAAACAGATAACGCAGCAAAGGCCCCACAACTGCTACACTCAGGCTATTGCCCAGCATAGCATACCTGCCACCATAGGTAAGTTAGCGATAACAAACAATTCAGGCAGTGCGGTCTGGTTTTCAAAACTAGAAAGTCACATTCATGTTCTTATATATATTGCGATTATGATGTTCCTGAAGTTCATTGAGTTCCAACAGAGTAAAAGGTAGGGATTAAAACTTACTGTTGCCTAAGGCTTATGTGATTCGGAAAGTGGAAACTCGATGGAAAAGAATGCAGATTAGCAACCTGAAAAATCATGAATATTGCATGCTATGAGACAAAACATAGATACGGAAGGGTGTGGACCTATGTGAAGTTGTCAATAAGCACATACCTCACGAGGGGTGAAAAATCGTAAGCCTAACTCCTTCAGTGAAGAAATTTCAAGGTCCTCTTTGGAAATTCGTTTGAGGTTCTGTAATTTAAGTAGGTAATCATAAAAGGAAAAGGAATCATGAATGTTCAGATTAAGAGGCAACACCAGGGATGCCTGAAAACAAAGCAGATGAAAGATTGAATATAATGAGCCTTACATTGGACGTAGCTAGTAAGGAGCCTGTCCCCTTGACATAGCGATAATAACTTTTGGTAAAACAACAGCATCGTTTTGATTCAGGGCATACAATATCTTGCAAACAGTCGAGGAGACACCACAGCCAAGCATCAGTAAAACATAATAATCTATCATTAAATGATTGATTCAGGAGTCTTAAACTAAGAAAAAAAAAAGATACCCATAGCACTCCCCCACCGCTCAATCAAGTTTAGCGGGACTACATAATCTTGAGAAATTATTCCACTTGGGGTGCATCCATCAGACCCATTAACTACAAAATATAGAGTGGCATTAAAAAATATTTTTAACCTGCATGTTCAAATGAGATACTGGTAATTATTATAGGCTTATTGAACTTACTGTCAGAGATTGTACCTGAAGAATCCTGATCAGCGACATTCAGACTTATTGTTTCAAGGAAGTCACTGATTGGTTTGCATACTAGTTCCAGCTCATCTTCATCCGGGTTACATCTGTTGTGACCTGCCCTTACCAATGTTAGGAATGTAGGTGTCCGGAGCAGCTTGCTGTTGTCTGATGGATTTTGAAAACTCACAGGTTCTCGTTTCGCCTATAGACAAGGTACTGTTAAATAAATGAAGAGTTGCTTAGCTGAACAAAAATGAACTATTGAAGAACCTAGAGTTTATTATCCAGCAATTTTTTATCAGGAACTTTATTGCATGATTTCTCAGTTTTGTAGTGACACCAGACTAATTTCCTATGGTTTTTCTTTTAATAAGCACTTGGGCAAATACAATCTTTTTACCAATCTTAAGCAACAAACCCCCAAGTCATCCCTTGCTGATTTCCACAATTTGTGAACTTTGGAAGCTATGCACATATGTAATAGTAACAATAAGATTTGTGCCATGTCATGTCCTATAACGTCAAGTGACAGATCACATTGAAACAACAGGAAAGATCCTCCAGAAATCTTACCAGACAAAAGTAGCGAGGTCTAGAATATGGGATACCAAACTGCAAGGGGCTTAGGATAAATTCTTGTGTGTTGAAATTGAGATCTGAAAGAACCTCTATCAACTGGTCATGTGTATCAGACACCTGTCACAAACAAATAGGGGTCACAACTTGATAAAATACTGCGGTCAAGAATAGTGCTTTAAAGAAACCAAAGATTACACCAACCTCAAATCCGACTACGTTTTCCACAAATAACATTTGTGGAGGAAAGCACATGTTTTTCATTAGGTTAAGAATCTTTATGAATGAAAATGCTCGAGCATCAGCTGAATGCTTCTGTAGTCCTACACGATACTCCATCCATTAGTGAAATTTGAAAAGTGGTCAGATAATGTTGAAAGAAAGCTCCAGAAGAAAACCTTGCCGTGTGTATGGTTGGCATGGAGGAGAAAGAAGCCATGCTTGTGCCTTATACTTATCTAGGTCACTAGCAGTGAGTGTTTGAATGTTTCCCTGTATTTAGATAACAGTGATACAGTTCAGATAATGAAATTGTTAAAGACTTAGACAATTCAATACAAGAATCATCATGCAGGTAGAATGATATGCTTAATCTGCAGGACAGGGTAGATGAGCCAGGAGAATGACTACATGAACATGAGGAAGGCAAATGACCAACTGTTCCCTTGCCATGTGAAATGGTTATAGAAAACAACACAACATACTCAAAAGAAATCAACCAGATTGTAAGCAATTCTGTGGACAGTTTAAACAAATACATCAAGACAGTCTACTAATTGAGAAATTCTAGGCAGAACATAAATTCTGTGGAAAACTTGTAAGCATACTCCCTAAGAAGTGCCTAAACATCTGATCAAGCAGTTTAAGTTCTGAATCTCAGCCTAAACATCTGGTCGAGCAGCTTAAGTTCTGAATCTCACTTCTCATCACCTTTGCAGTTGGCACAATAATACCATGTTCTATGTGCTACTCCTAAATCTGAGCCGAACCAAATCAAAACTGCGGAATCTAACCAGAAGCTTTTTCTCCTAGGTTCCAATTTGGGATACCACAGATGGATTTGGGGAAGAAACCGAGCGCACCTGGTATGGGCGGTGGCCGAAGTTGAGCTCGTAGACATCGTTGGCAACGTCGTTGATGTCGAAGGCCTCCACCACCTCGGCCCGCGCGCCCGACGCCGCCAGCGAGTACCTCTGCGGGGGAGGGCAGGTGGCGCAAAAACCCTAGCCGCCGTTAGACAGGTGCGGGCAAGTTCGCAGTGGGGAAGGTGGAGAGGGTGGGTTGGGTGTTAGTACCATCCCGCCGATGCCGCTATAGAACTCGAGGACTTTCCATGGCACCGCGGTCTCCATCGTCTCCGGCGATGATGGCGGCGGCGTTGGCGGCGCCTTGCCGGCTTTTGCTGGACTTCTGAAAGGCTTTTCGGCCCCCCAACTAAACTGCGGCTCCCATCCCATTAAGAAAAAAAAAAGTCAAATTTTAAATTTTTAAACTTAATTTTAGGATTGATTTTGAGATTTTTTTTAACGTAATTTCTTTTTCAGCATTGGTTTTTAAGTTACCAAGAACACATATATAAAAGTTTTACCAATAAATTTATTTATTTTCTAATAAACCATTTTGGCGAAACGATGGGGCCCGCAAGTCCTCCTGGTTGATTTTGACACGCTGGCAGAGCCGAATTACACTGGTCTGCGGCACCACTAGCCACACCCCTCTGGCCCACAGCATACCCTCATCACGTGACCCGATCCAGACCGTCCATCACGCCCGCACGAACCCCGAGGCGCCCCCTACCCGTCTTCCTCCTATTTCCCCTCCCCACCCTACCCCGTCGTCTCCGTTCGCGCGCATCCAGGTCAAATCAAATCGAGAGAGAGCCCCCATCTCGCCTCGCCTCGCCGCCTCCTCCCTCCCCCCATTCCCCCGCCGCCGCCGCTGCGAGCGCCGCGACATGAGAGCACGCCTCCAAACCCTGGCCCCGGCCCTGCGCCGCGCCGCCTCCGCCTCCGCCACGGGCCCCGCCTCCGCCTCCGCCGCGGGCCCCGCCTCCCTCGCCAGCGCCGCGCCGCTCTCCACGGCGGCCGCCGCCGCCTTCCCACCTCCTCAGTCTAAAACCGCTTCACGTATGGGTTTGTTCTCTATGCCCGGCGGCGACACACGCCAACCTTCATATGGAGACCGTCTCATGGAGTCACAGCAGCTGCCTCAAGACTACCGTGCCAATGTGCCGCGTTCTGGTGACACGATGGGAGTAGGCAAATGGTAATTTCCATGCGCCCATATGATTTCTGCATTGTTCTGCTGATGATGATTTTGCTCATTCCTCCTAATCCCGAGTTAAGGTCCAGGATAGCTGGTGGCGAGAATCCCTCCTACTTCGGGACCCCATCACACATCTTTGACGAACACAAGCAATCTCTGGTGAAAGGGAAGAGAGATTTTGTCTATGTCTTGCTCAAGAGAAACAAGACCTTTGTGACCGTGACAGACGTTCGGGGGAACAGAAAGACCGGGGCATCCGCTGGTTGTTTGGAGGACAAGAAAGGGCGCTCTCGTCTCTCCAAATATGCTACTGAAGCAACCGCAGAACATGTCGGGCGAGCCGCGAGGAAGATGGGTTTGAAATCCGTGGTGATGAAAGTGAAAGGAACTGTGTTCTTCAATAAGAAGAAGAAAGTGATCCTGAGCTTCAGAGAAGGCTTTCGGGGTGAAAGAGTAAGGGAGCAATCTCCTGTGGTGTTTATCCACGATGTGACCCAGCTTCCACACAACGGATGCCGCCTCCCGAAACAACGCCTGGTTTAGGTCTCGGCGAGCTGGAATTGAACCTATAGAGTTGAGAGGAGTCGAAGCATTCGAGGTGATCTGTGGAAGCTCTTTTTAAGCTGCATGATGTTGGTCTGGTTGACCTAAGACAAATATGTATTGTCTCTCTTGGCTCTGCTACTTGAATTGGTTTCGGCATGACTTATCTTACTCTTTTTGATCAAATTGCATATAGGAACTAAAACCCCAACCGTTTTATGGTATGTTATGACTTACTTCCTCCGTCCCAAAATATAACAATTTTTAGCCCTCGGGATTCCCAAAATATAACCACTTCTCCATCAACATTCTCTTCCCAACTAATCACAATCCTTCACCATTCACTTTTCCCACCTACCTCCACTACTCATCCAATCACAACCCTCCACCATTCACTTTTATCTATTTTCTTAATAACCGTGTCCCAACTCTAAAACTTATATTCTGGGACGGAGGGAGTATGAGGAACATATGTTTGATTCTCCTTCAATAAATAGCAAAGCCCTTGCCCTTTTTCTTGAAACAGTTTGCACTTGCCCATTTTTAGCTTGAGCAACTAGAATTGCAGGGTGGCATTGCCGCGCTACCCTTTTTATGTTTTAGCCCTCATGGTGTTTAGATCAGCTGCTTCATGTTTTTTTTTTTTAGTGTTGTGCACTCTACGGAGGTGGTATGGTATTCGCTGTGCTGATATCAATAGACTTGTTACTTCCACTGAGTTGTCCATTTTGTGTGTAGTGGTAAGAGCTGTAAGAAGGGGTGAAATTAGGAAACCACTGAACCTGTGAGATTTAAAGATGAGTAAAGTGTACGGGCGGTCCTTAAACTTATAGGGATATGTCATCTAGGTCCCTAAACTTTCAAAATGTATATCTAAGTCCCAGAACTTGTTGTCATAGTGTGTCATCTAGGTCCCAAATCGCTAAAACCTCTTCAGGATCCTACGTGGCGTTGATGTGCCATGTCTCACGGACATGACATGACATTATTTTGACTGACAAATAGGATCCATTTAATTTTTTTTCCTTTTTCTTTTTCTTTAACTTTTTCCCCTTTCTTCTCCTTTATTAGTGACCCGTGCAGAAAAAAAGGAAAAAAAAAGAAGAATGAGAAGAAAACGAAAAAAAAAGAAAAAAAAAAGAGAAACGGACACGTCATGTCCATGTGGCATTGTCACATCAGCGCCACGTAGGATCTTAGAGGGGATGTGCTAATTTGGGATCTAGATGATACACTTTAAAAAGTTATGCTACCTGGATATGTATTTTGAGAGTTTAGGGACCTATATGATACAACCCTACAAGTTTAAATATCGCAATGCACTTTACTCTTTAAAGATCCATTTCTTTACTATTGTTGTAGGTACTATGTGTTTTGAACTGCTAGAGGTCTAAATTAGGATGCCATTTTAATGCTGATGGACCTGCGCTCATTGGATGATGAAAGTTTTATGCAAGATGGCGTTCCATTGGCCTTCATTTGCCAATGGTACCTGTAGTCGCTAGGTTTAAAATAAATTGATGGAACTGCATAAACATAATTTATCGCAACGCCATCATAATAGATTTATAACATGTATTCATTGCATCCTGTATGATTTAATGGTAGAGATGTTGTTTTTCCTAATCTTTTTTTTTTCTGTAGCATTTGCTGTACCTTACACATATTCTATGCACAGCGCTTGAGAATTTATCTGTAGTGACTCCTCTCAATTTAGTGGTGAGCAGTGGAATTGTAACCTTGTAGTCAGTTCAGTACCGAAACATATTCTTTAAAAGAAGCCATATATGCCATGTATGATTTGTGGTGTTAAAGCTTAATAGCACCAGTCATGACTTCAATTACTCTCCATTTTTTTTTGAAGACGACAGCAGGAGCTCAGCCGGAATTTGATTAAGAAGGAAAACAGAATACAAACAGATCCTTGATTACAAAAGATAAAAATCACAACTCAAGGAGGCTTAAACGCCCAGCTACGTAAGTCTGATAACATGCTAGCTGTAGTTTACTGCCTTGGTGCTAGATCGTAGAAGTATCAGCTTGTAACTAAATAACTAACCGGGATGTGTTACTACTAGTAGCTCATCTCATTTCACTTTGCATCTGATACCCCTATTTCTATTTGCATCAGTTCCTATAATTTGAGAATACTTACTACGGACACCATTGAGAATGTCTCTTCTCTTTTGCTTGGGATCACTTTCTGTATTTCTTATATCCGTGTTGAAGCGGTGGGGATTTGATCGTACTTTGGTTCTAACTCCTCCGTCGGCACCATATCGCCACCTCCAACGTCAGTCCAACGAGAATAACCTACCAACTTGAGGAGGCAATGGGTGACGCCCGTGTTGATCGAGCCGAACCTATTCACCGTCGGAGCGGGTGCATCCGCGACAATTCACTGATGGCGTCACGAATTGAAAAACGGAGAGAACCGTCACTCTAAATGGCAGGAATTGAAAAACGGAGAACTAGGGAAAACACAGGATTTTAATAGGAATATAAGTGCAAAACAGAAAGATTACAAAACACAGAAACACACAAAGAATGACCGTTTGATTGGACCACATGAAAAACATAGGAATCGGATGAAAGAGATAAACTAAAAGAAAATTTTCCAAGATATTGAAGTTATTGCTAAATTTTCTTTAAAATCTCTTTGGGATTGTTTATTCCATAGGAATTTCAAATGATAGGACATGATTCAATTATTTGTTTCAAAGATATTTATAGAAAATTTTTCAATGTTTTTCCTCCAAATCAAAAGGTGTTTGTTCACGGTTAATCTGTACTTCGATATTCCTACTACCAGATGATGGCCCACACTTTGCTGCGGGATATATATATTACATATTGGAGAAATGATGAAATGATTTGGATTAAAATATTATAAAAATAATTTGAGAATGATGATTTAGTATATGTATGTCTAGTTTTAAAATGAAATAATTTATAGATATAATTACTATATACTTACTTGGTGAGCTTTACGTGTTTAATGGGTTGATATAACATGTTTGCATGTAGGTTATAGGAGTAATAATAAATACTATGTTTTCATGTTGAGTTTTACATGTTTAGTAAGTATTAGCTTTATAAAAATAAGAGATTTTAGAATGCATTGCCCATGTGGATATTCCTATAGACCGTAAATCGAACCGATATGGCGGCCTGTCGAGATGGATGGGTTGAGAAATTGTGCCTAGCAAATTAGCCTTACGTACCCCTTCTTTGTGTATTGTGCTGCTTCTACCACAGCCGGCCTGGCTTCACTTCCTTGTCCCTTCTCGGAGAAAGCTATAGAGCGAAAAGATATTTGCAGGCAAAGCTATACGGCCTGCACACACACGTACTCCCTCAGTTCTATTTTAAGTGCAAACGTGAGTTTCTATGTTTAATTTTAATTGTTTGTTTTATTTGAAAATTTTTATAATTAATATTTTTATTGTTATGAGATGATAAAACATGAATATTACTTTACTCGTGACTTATGTTTTTAATTTTTTTTTCAAAAATTTTTCAAATATGACGGACGATCAAAGTTGGTCGCGGAAAATCATATATGGCTGCACTTAAAATGGGACGGATGGAATAGTCCTCTTGTTCTATAGAAAACTAATCTATTACATATTATAATACAACAAATCTGAACGTCTAAATTCATTTGTGAATTGTGAAGAACTCGAGTACATTTGTGTTTAGATTTTATACATATTATCATATTTTCTTCGTCTCAAAATATAATAACTTCTAGCCTTCAAAATTTATCTTAAAATATAACAACTTCTTCACTAACATTTTCTTACCATCAATCTCAATCTTTCGCCGTTTAATTTCCTCACCTATCTCCATTTCTCGTCCAATCATAATATTTTCCATATTTATATTCTATCTATTTTCTTAGTGATTGTGTTTAATCTTAATGACTCGCTCCCCTCACACCAAATCCTCGCACCACCGGCTTTGTCCCGCCGAGGAGAACCCATTCCCCTAGTTTCCCCTCTCTTTTAGCCACCCTATCCCGCCGCCACCATCACCTTCTTTGCCGCCAGAGCCAAGCCCTTCCATCCGCTATTCTGGCCATCTCTCTAGCTCCTTGTATCGGGCAACACATTCCTTGATTGAGCCAAGCTCGGTAACACATTTGACCGCCGGTGTCGCCACCTCCCAGCCACTGGAGCACCGGCGCGCCGCTCATCTCTTCCTTCTGCTCTACATGGGAAGAAAGAAGGAAAAAAGAGAAGAGGGGAGGGTGGAGGAGGAAGATCAATCTGAAGAGTAGGCTCCACGTGTAGATGGGGATGAAGATTGTGATGGCATGGTTCTAATTTTATAAAATTTGAATGGCATATTTATAAATATACGAATTGTAATAGTATATTTTTTAATAACCACATTTGTAATGGCATAAATAGAATTAACCCAATTTTCTTCCAAACAATAGCGTGTCCTCCTGGTTGCTATTGACACGCTGGCAGAGCCGAATTTACACTGGTCTGGCGGCGCCACAGGCCACACACCCCTCTGGCCCAAAACACACACCTCCCCCCTCTCCCTCCTATTTCCTCCTCCCCATCCCACCCCGCCGTCTTCGTCCGCATCCGGGTCAAATCAAATCGAGAGAGAGCCCCATCTCGCCTCGCCTCCTCCTCCCTCCTCCCCATTCCCCCGCCGCCGCCGCCGAGGGCGCCGCGACCTGAGAGCACACGCACGCCCGCCATGTGGCGCCGCCTCCAAACCCTGGCCCCGGCCCTGCGCCGCGCCGCCTCCGCCTCCGCCTCCGCGGCGGCATCGGGCGCCGCGGGCCCCGCCTCCCTCGCCCGCGCCGCGCCGCTCTCCACGGCGGCCGCCGCCGCCTTCCGCCGCACCAGCCCTCTCCTGTCCGGTAAGGGCTCTCCTCCTCGGATCTCGCGTGTTTGGATGTGCTTCCGTGGGGTGGTGGGGGCGGCGCTGATCGGTCGGTGGTTGGGGGTCGCGCTGCAGGGGACAAGCCGGCGACGGTGGAGGACGTCATGCCCATCGCCACGGGGCTGGAGCGCGAGGAGCTCGCGGCGGAGCTCAAGGTGGAGATGCCTATGCCTTTTTTTTTTCGTTTTTTTTTTTGCTTCTTCGGGTTGGAGTATTGCTCCTTTTTGTCTGTTCTGGAAATGGGTTTCGTGATTTGCCGATCTGTCTGTGGTTTCGCAGGGGGAGAAGCGGTTCGACATGGATCCTCCCGTAGGCCCATTTGGTACCAAGGTGAGGCGTTCGCTGGTCGTAGTTGTAGGATATTTTCTATTGATTCTGTTGATCTGAAATTCTGAATCTGCGATCGTCACCATACGTGGTGGTTCTATTCCTTAGCTTTAGGTTTATTAGAGCTGAATTTAATGAAACTATGAATTGCGAATGCTTTGCTAGATTACCTTCGACTTGATTCGCGTTGTGCTGGGAGGGAGAAACTGCATTTTTTGCCAGTAGTCATGCTATATTGCCTGGTTCTATACACTAATGCGTTTCGGGAATTGTTTTCGTGTGCTATTCTTCAATGCACCATTGTTGTAAAACTTGTTCACTCTATGACGGGCAATGTGTTTGATCTCCATGTTCATTGCCTTTGCCTGTCTACTAAAGCATCAATAGTTGTTCCACATTATTGAGCAAATGATTGTTACTAGTTAATATATTGGTGCAAACTATTCTTCCCCCGTTGGCAGTTTGCGATGTTATGACTAATGCTACTTATGATAAGTTCTTGTCATATATTGTAGGGATGCTTTCTTTAAACTTCTATGAGTAGTTGGTGCAGGATACACAATAATGTTTACACAGTGTGTGCTATCTTATTTGATCAGAAACGCAGCGCTCCTTTCATATAAACTAATATGGCTGACCCAATCCTATTGATTAATATGCATATTGGTGGGGTGCCTTTTCTTCATTGAAACTGTTTTTTGGATATGCCATTAAGTTACATTCTTTTGACTAGCTGGAACACCTAAATAAACATTAGTTGCTGAGAAATATCAAGTTTAATATGCATTTTTTTTGTGTTGAAACAATTGTCGAAGTCGAAATTAGAGACTGAATGGTGAACATTATCTTGGGAATGTTGCATTAATCTGTTTTTCTATAGCTATCTAGCAAACCGGTACCTGTAACTGGGAACTGTTTATAAGTATTGTTTGGCGGTGAGAGTATGTTAACTTCATTTTGTTGTTGCATTTGTGATATGGTAGTGGACTACAAACTTACTGTGGTTAAATGCTTGAGCTATGCAATGCAAGGACTTTTAGTCCTGATACTTAGATTTTTTGTTAAGTTGGCAATCTATGTCTCAGATTGAATAGGAACTATGAAAACCTGTTTTTGAAGCAGGGGTATTTGGTGACCTGTTGTAGAATGTCTTTGTACATCACCTAACTGCAAATCACCTGATTGATTATTCTGTTCTAAGAGTGGTGAGATCGTTTTTTTTTTAAATTTGGACTATCCCAAAAACATTAGTGTTCGTGCCAAATTTAGTAGGTTATTACGGTAACCGCTAGGTGGTGAACTGTGCCCTTGTGTTCCTGCAAAGGTGTTTCGCTTACCTCTTGATGTCAGCAGGGATATTTGGTGACCTGTTGTAGAATGTCTTTGTACATCACCTAACTGCAAATCATCTGATTGACTATTCTGTTCTAAGAGTGGTGAGATCTTTTTTTTAAATTTTTTTTTACTATCCCAAGAACATTAGTGTTCGTGCCAAATTTATTAGGGTAACCACTAGGTGGTGAACTGTGCCCTTCTGTTCCTGCAAAGGTGTTTCGCTTACCTCTTGATGTATACCAGAAAAAAATAACGACACACTAATGTGTGAAGTGGCTCAACAAGAACCAGCATACATCCGCTGCTGTGCCCTCACCACACCCACCTGTTCTTTGGATGATTTTCCTCTTCCTGTAGCCAAGTCTTTTAACATTAGTACTATGTATGTTTTTTTTCTTGAATTCTGATTTCTGAATGCCTATTATTATCACAGCATGTTTTTTTTCTCTAATTCTGATTTCTCAATGCCTAGTATTATCACAGCAGACCACACAAGCTTGGTCAATTTATAGACAGTGATGTGATCATTAAATATCAAGTTGCGTTTTTAATCCGAAATCTGTATTTCATCTGTAAAGAGGTCATCAAATATTTGTAAATGAGCATATTTATACACCTTCATGTATTTGTACAATAAACAAATGTCTGTTTGAGGGACTCGTCCAGTTTCCCCTAGTTTGCTCCCTTCTGTGTTACACTCCCTTATATCCTTGTGACACATCGTACTGTTACTTATTTGAATTTACCTGTCATTCATTTTCCCCATTGCTGTTTGCTTTTCCTGTTGGAAACAGGTTTCTATGTTACTTGTCCACAATTCTTATTTTGAACTGAACCCATTTTACCCCCTGTTGGCTTTCCGCGGAGTCAAAATCTAACTACTCAACTCTTAGAACTTTGTTTTATGCCCTTCAGCTAGCAATACCAGTCCACCGCTTCAATCAATCCAGCCCAGTTTATATCCTATCAGTTACTCAATCTCTTCTGTGTACAAAGTAGTAGCCACCTGCATCATGCCCAATCCTGATCACCTGCCACGCTCCACATCCCAAATGTAGGAGTCAGGAGGCAAGCCATGATGACAGAGACTCTGGTTTAGCAGCGTGCAATGGAAGTGCAACTGAAAATTATTTTTTTTTTCAATTCTAAGACGTAGAATATGGTAGTGAGAAAATTATTGCCGATGAGAACCTGGATTTCTTTTTGTTGAGATACAGATGCAGAGGAGACAGGAGAGTAATGAAGAACATTAGAGGCGGGACCTTGATTTATTCTTATTGACGGTTTCTTTCTTGCCTGTACATCAAGCCTTAAGTCCTTTCCTTAATTTCCTTGACGCTGTGTGTGAACATGGTCCTTTGACCTCTGCAAACACAGCCACAATGGGCAGCAGGGTGCTGCAAGAGGTGGCGATAGATTGCACAATCCCAAGTATTCCCTGCTGATTTTAGCCTGTCCTGGCTCACCATGACCTTTCCTGTACTTCTACTTCTGCTACGATTAAGTCTTTTGAATCTGTTGCAGCATGTTACACCTTTTTGTTTGTGTGTGTGTGGGTTGGGGGGTAGCCTATCCATGTTGATGTCTTGTTGATTAAACATGGGTGGTTTAGAGTGAGGGCCTGAGGGGGATGATTTGCACTGATTGTGATTTGCGATTGCTTTAAAATGATGAAATTTCAACTTTGGAGCTATTCTTTTAAATTGGCTGTAAGGATGATGCTGGATCTGAACCATGGCACATTAGTCTCTTCATTTATTATCTTGCAGCATCATTTGAGCACCATGTCATGTTATTCATCAATTTGCTATGGTGTTACCTGCAGGAGGCCCCAGCTGTCATTGAATCCTACTATAACAAGAGGATAGTTGGTTGTCCTGGTGGTGAAGGAGGTCAGTCAGTGTTGACTTGGCTCAGCGAAAACTCTAAACTGCCAAATATTATGCAATACTGGTATCAACATTTTTTCACTTCTTTCATTTACAGAGGATGAGCATGATGTTGTATGGTTCTGGTTGAAAAAAGATGAACCGCATGAGTGCCCAGTCTGTTCACAATATTTTGTGGTAATTGGAATTCGTTGTTTGACATATTACTTTAATTTATGTATTTAGTAACTGTTTTTATTGAATGTAGCTCACAGTTCCAAGCTGTTTTGATTCTGTAATGTTCTATTGTTCTTTAATGGATCTTTGTTGCTCGCCTTTTGCAGCTTAAGGTCATTGGTGATGGTGGTGATCCAGATGGACATGATGATGACGACGAGCATCACCACTAAGGACGCCCATGCCTCGTGGTTCTGATAATAAGAATTTGATGAGGCAGATGATTTCATTTAAACCTTTTTAGCACCAGACTGCTCTACGGCGTCCTTGTTTATGAATGCACACATTTGGCCATCAAGCAGGTGGTAGTTTTTTCCTTAGGGATTTTGTCCAAACAAAAAACTCATCGAGGCTTGACCTGTGCATTTCCTTCGGAGCATCATCGAATAAAAGATGACTGCATCAGCTGCGTTTTTCTTGTGTATCCTAATGGCCATCTGGTGTGATGGACCTGTTCTATTCAGATCATGCAACAGTTTATTTTCAGTGCTCAGTGAGTCCCTGTTTGCAAGCAGCCACTAAATCTTTAACGATCGTCTCATAGTCCCCAATTTCCTCATAATGTGACAGTTATGGAAGTGCTTGTCATGTCTTCATGAACTTACTTACAGATGTCAGCACAGCGACGATAAACAGTAAGATAACATGCCAAATTTCACCGGAAAGACTACTGGAGCATGTGTACAACTAACCTACTTTTTAGACTTTTTACCCTTACATTTCACAGCGCCGACACTGAAAAGTACAGAAAATGCTAAAACCTTATTATTTATTTCAAGGATCTTTTGAAAAAAATATTCCCTAAGCTAAACTAGGCAAGGACGGAACGAATCTGGTTTAGATTCATTGTTTTATGTTATGTCTCATCTTTCTCTAGGTTTTTTTTTTAAGGACGGGGGAAGAGTTTTAGACATATGTACAAACATTAAAAAAAACACAAAATTGAGATATCGTGTACGAGCAATGTAAAACACAATTATAAATTTGATGCATTGAATAGCTCACAAAGAAGATGCAGTGGAGTCGCATATTTCATTCCAATGTCAAGATCGAGTGAGTATATATCAAACATTTCAACCTAAGATTGACAGTGTTAGAATAACACAACCCAAAACAATAGGCTACAGATGCAACCTAGCAGCTATCAAACGGTCTCATCTTTTCGCTTATACGCTAATAAGCTAAAATTTGAATTTTCAACTTTAAATTTAAAGTTGATTTGGTTTTTATCATAGTTTATTTTTTAGCCTTTAGATTGCTAAGAACGTGTATATAAAAATTTTATTCACAAATTATTTTTTTTCCAAATATACCGTTACAATGGCCCTAAAACATTGCAACCCAAATATATACCACAGAAACACCTCTATTGCTATGTCTCAACTCAGATATTGAACCCAAAATATACCTCACACTCACAGCACGTCAGCACATCTATCACCATGTCTCAAACCCAAAATATAGCACAAAGCACATCTATTATATTGCCATGTGAGATCTCAAATCAGATATTGAAGCTAATTGCCACTCCACCCATCGGTATTGGCGAAGAAGGCCATATTTTAGCCTGCAAGCAAATGCACACTTCATTTTGTTAAATAAAAAAAATTAAGGGTATCATAAACAAAGTTACAAGTAAACTTGCAGCTTATTAGCAACATCGATTCTTTTTACATAGAGATTCCTCAGCACGGTCCTCGAGCAGCTCCTGCGCAACCATCATTGTGCAACTCCCACTCAGCGACGATGATATATTTATGCCAAAAAATTACATCCCGGATTTTTCTGGGAAAAAAAATAAATAAATAAACAATATATATTTAAAATTCAATTCCTTTCACCACTCGAAGCGCCTACCTTGGCAAACCCTAAGAGCAAGTATAATAGTCTCTCTTTGAGAGAGGACCCCCGTGTCGCTCCGCTCCAGGGTGACACAGGAGGCGACCTGAAGCCGCCCCGCCGCCGGCCTTCTCTCCCTCGCCTCCCCCACCTCGCCGCCGCCTGAGCAGCCGCCGGCAAAGCCGGGCAGCGGCAAGGACGGTGGCGGCGGGGCATTCTACCCCCTCCAACACCCGGTGGTTGGGGCCCCGACGGGAAACAGGCGGAGGGGCGGCGACGCGTTGAGGCGGCTCCGGCGACGCCGACGGCCAGAGGTAGTAGTGCCGGCGTCGCCGTTAGCGGATCTGGCCCCCCCGCGGCCAGATCGAGACGAAGCGGCGTCGGCCACGCCGCATTAGCGAGGTGCCGGCAGAGAAGGCCGCCGGCTGCGGCAGTCGCGGCGCGGGCGGAGGAGGCGACGTCGCTGGCGGCGGGGACGAGGCAGAGAGCCTGGCCGCCGCCGGATCTGGCTCCCTCCAGGCCGGATCCAACGCCCGCAGCGAAGGAGGCCGGCTCCGGGGTGGCGGGGCAGAGGAGGCGGCGGCGGCGGCGACGGGACGGCGGGGGCGGCGCTAACGGTGGGAGAGGCATGGGCCTAGCTGCACACGGCGCCGCCGGCTATGGTTCCCCCTAGTTCGGCACCGGCACCCCCAGTCCGGATCTGGCCTCTCCGGCGAGGGAGGCCGGATCCCCTCCGGTGGCTCCTCGGCAGTGGACGACGCGTCGACAAGGGCGGCGGTTAGAGGGCAGCAGGAGGCGTGGGTGGCCGCGGCAGGAGGGCCAGTGCTGCGGCTGGTCTGGCGAGTCTGCCGGAGCTGCGGGCGGTAGCCTAGGACTGATTGCTAAAGGGACGATGTAGCCGACCGGCGACGATCATCTTGCGCGGACTGGTTGTGTGGGTTTGGACGGGAAATCGCTGGCGAAAGCCTCGCTGTGCAATTGGCCGGCTGTCGACGGCGGCGCCTTTTGGCGTCATTCACCTCCTTGGAGGCGTCATTTTGGCGTTGATCTCTCTCCTTTCCCTACCGTTCTCCGGGTGAAAACCTGGCTCTGGCTTCCGGACGAGCGGTGGCGGCGATCCACGTCGTGTCCTCCTTGGAGGCACCGCTTTGGAGAAACTTTTTCATGCAAGGATGTCATTAATGGTCTATGCATTGGCTTCGAAGCTTTTCAGTACTTGGTTTTGACGAGGCCTTCACTGTCTAGTCCCACTTTTTGTTTTGCGGCGGGCGACCTTCGCTCCTTGTTTGTGTTTGCTAGGTGAAGTCGGAGCTGCTTTGTAGGGTGACGAAGCTAGGCAACGATGACATGTTGCATTCTCTTTCTAGGGGTTTTGCTGTTGGCCGTGGATAGGATGTGGCGTTTAGATGGCTTTGGCTGAAGTTCTTCGTGGGAAGTTGAAGCCACTTGACCATTGACAGCGAGTTAGGTATGGATGATGCAACCAATTTGAAGTCGGAGCTGCTGTGTCGCTAGGCGACAAGCTCGGCAACGATGACACGGTTGCAAGGTCGGAACCCCTTTGTTGTCTTGGTCAAGCTTGGTAACGACGTTCTATGTTGGGCTCCGTCAATGGTTTCAGTTGCTAGTGAGTTCTGGCGTGTGCTGTGCAGCTGTTCAGCCAGCCGGTGGTTGTTTTTTCTTTTCTTGTAACCCGTCTAGGGTTTTTACTCCTGCTTATTGAAAATATAATTGGCAGTTCTCCTGCCGGTTTAGTTTCAAAAAAAAGTATAATAGTAGGCTATAAGCCAACTATAAGCTTATGTGGAGGAAAGAGAATTTGAAAAATGGAGAGGATTGGCTTTCATGCAAGAGCTAGCTATTCACATACTTTAAGATAGATACATTAAATACATAGGTGAGAGATAGAGAGAGGAGAAGAAAAAAAAGAGATAACCTTATAGCCCATTTACTATACATGTTAACTCTAATATAAGCTATAAGCTCATAGTTGGCTCTCTTATTAAACTTGCTCTAAGAAATCGTCCGATCCCAATTCCCAACCTTCCCCTATACACTCGGATCTCCCTTTCCTCCTCCCTTCCTTCTCTTCCTACTACAGTACACCACAAGATTAAAAAAAGTTTGAAAAAATTTATGTATAGAAATACTATATATAAAAAATATTTGAATTCAATCAAATTTGAAACGGGTATGTAAACTTTTGACTTATAAACTTTGGGTCTATAAACTTTAGGTGTATAAACTTTAGATGCATAGAAATACTATATATAGAAAATATTTGAATTCAAATTCAAATTTGAATCAGATATAATTCGGATTCAAATTTGAAACGGGTATATAAACTTTAGGTCTATAAACTTTAGGTGTATAAACTTTAGATGTATAGAAATACTATATATAAAAAATATTTGAATTCAAATTCAAATTTGAATTGGATATATAAACTTTTGACTTGTAAACTTTTGGTCTCTAAACTTTAGATGTGTAAACTTGAGGTGTATAAACTTTAGGTGCATAAATTTACTAAAATAGAAAATTAATGCGGTGCCAAAAAAGAAAACCAGGTGAAGGAAGGGGGGGGGGGCGAGTTTCCGGCCAATAAGGCCATACATTGCCTCCTCTGCGAAGAGCTGTTCGTCTACCGCTACAACCACCCTGCAGCAGCTGCTGGCGCCGCTGCGGCTGATCTCAGGAGGCTCCCCGCTTGCTCTCATGGCGTCGTCATCAACATCCACGGGAGCAGGAACGCTGGGATACTACTGTGCCGCCGCAACAACAATGGATCAGAGTTTCAGCTTGTTGTCCAGCTCACCTTGTGTTAGAGCTCAAGGAAGTACCAGCTGGAAGTCCCAAGAGAAGGAAGGACCTGAAGGGGAAGACGACAACAAGGCTGACGACGTATAGTCTGAAGGCGAGTTGGAGGAAGACGCCTTACCAAGGGGAAAACGCATCCGGCGAAGGAACAAGAAGTACATGGGACCTGACTGGGCTGTATGAACCATCTCTGTGTATCGGCCCATCTTGGCCATGTAAGAGAGAGAGAGAGAGAGAGAGAGAGAGAGAGTTGGTGAGGAGAGAACATCCTATAAATACGCAAAACAACAGTTGTAATAACTTGGCTTGGAACTCGGCGGCGGCGTTGGCGACGGTGGCTCGGTCCGGTTGGACGCGAGAGAGAAATCTATCAATCGAGTTCCTCGTATCATCTTGTTCTTGTGTGCTTGTGTGAATCGTGAGCTAGGGTTCTAACACCTTGGAGGGATGACTTCACTAGAAGATGAAAATGATGGCTCTGCAGATCTGCCGATCCCTCGCCCAGTGGCAGCTGAGCTGTGCAAGTATGATGGCGGCTTGATCTGGGGCACTAACTGGTTGCGAATCCGTCATGCCGCAGGTGAAGACCAGGATCTGTGCTGGTGGGAAATGTAATGCCCTCATTGTGACCTCTAGGCCGCATTCAATAGGCAAGGTGTGGTGATACCGACGGGTACCAGATAAATTAGAGCGATTCACATCATGTGGTTTTTTACAAACTCTTGAGAGTCTAAAATAATCGATTAGCCATGCTCATGGTCATGAGCGGCATAGTGTGTGCGCCATAAGTATAGTTTTGTTCTTTTAAATGTGTGAAATAGGCCATGGGATTGGGAGTTTATGATACTTATGATGATTATGATGGCATGATGGT